CTCGCTCGTGTTCGGCTCGTTTACACCCCTAGTCATGCCTTTGTCATTTCTCTTATTCTCTCAATCGAAATGTCTAGAAAAAAAAGACGCATAAAAAAAACATTTGTTTCATTCTTTGCTCCCCTTGCCTTCTGTTAAGACTACATTTCTTGCGGTGATTGTCTCTGGCTACTGCGCGATTGCAGGCCCATGGCACAGTGCGCGCTGACGGTGAGCAACTCCTGGTTGGATTGTCTGCAGGAGGCTTACAAGAACATAAAGGGATGCTTGTCGTCGAGCGAAGGTTGAGCCATAGATGTTAGTTGCTTCATGAGGTTTTTAGGGAAGGCTTTTTTTCTGCGAAGAATACAGTGGATCATGTTGCGTCCTTGGGCTCGGGTAATCGACTGGCCTTTGGATTTTTTTTATTAAAATTTATCAAAAAAAACTATAGAATTGAAGTGGTTTGATTGCCTTATGTTTGTTAAAATGTGTATCAAGGCATAAAAGGAAGAAGAATATGTTGTTATTGTTGGCCAAGTACGCACTTCTCACTATGTCACTGGTTTGCCCTATTTTTTTTGTTTTTATTATTGAAGTGGTTTGATTGCCTTGTTTTTGTTGTTGTTGTTGTATATAGAAATTGAAGTTTAGGTTTTATATATGCATTGTATAAGAATTGTGTGATTTGCATGTAAACATAGAAGTTTATTCACTAGATGTGTAATACATAAGCTTATGTGGTTTGTATATAAAATTTAAAATTAAGCTTTTTGATATGTAATGCATAAGAAATGTGTGTGGGTTGTATGCAAAGCTTGAAGTTTGGGTGTTAGATATGTAATACATATATATGAAATGCATTTGCAACTGATATCTAAATGCACCAATCTATAAAACTACATATATAATATAGATGAATATTCAAAATTTGAGATCATAGATGTATAACAAATTGTATCTAGGAAGAAAATGACTCGTTGATAGGTTCTTGAATAGTGTAGAAAAATTTGTACATGTGGAATCACGGCTCCTCATTTATATTTTAGAAAATATATTTTGACACTCTTGTGTGAAGCATAAAAATCAAGTATACCTAACACTTGAAGATGTCATATTGGATCTGTACTATAAGAGATTTAAATCCAATTATTGATACGGGACTACACATTATGAGGATGAACCAGATGTTTAGTATGATCATGTTAGTGCGTTGTCATGTGCTATGCCCCTCTGACGAAACACATTCCCGACTCATACGAAGAAATGATTCATGTTGTGTGTTTGGGTCACTTTGCTAGGAGTGTTACTGATGATGAACACATTGAACACTGAAATACAACAATTCATTGATTTATTGCATGTTTCACAATAATCGTTATGGGAAGACAATAGTATACTTATAGGGTTATTGGTGACACTGAAAATAATGCGCATCAAATTTGATTTTAATATGCCTAGAATATCATATCCATTTTGTACACTAGCCACCTAAGAAGTTGGGTCAAGTTTTTGGTCAGGAGATTAAATAACTGCGTAATTATGAGTCAGGTCATTCATCAACACATATGCATGAGAAATAGCAAGTTAATCGAGCATCAAACATCAATGAAAACATATGTAGAATAAAAACATAATAAAATTTCACAGAAGAAACAAAGAGAAACACAGAGGTAGACAGCAAATAAACAATGTAAAAAAAAAAAAACAGTAAAGGAGAAAGCTTCATTGGAGGTAGGCATCAAATCGACAATGCCGACAATGGACGAAGGGGAGTATAACCGAGTTTCAACTCTAATAACACATACAACAAAGGAGGAGAGTGGTGAGGAGTATATGCGAGGATAGGGGAGTGGTACTACCGGAAATCCGGAGGGGCAACAATGTTTTTGGCACCTCACAATGGAGCTCCATCGACAGAATGCCCTCTCTCTCTTTCGTTTTAGCGTTTGACCGAATGTAACCCCCCATCTGCAAAACGCTCAAGTAAAAAAGGTTCCCAAATGCTTCTTCTCGGGTTCCAAAACGTAAAAGCCACAAAAAATGGGGTCCCAAACGGGCCTTATTCTCACTATCAAGCTCTTGTTGAGAGTTCCTCACTTCCTTCTCATTACTGATTTTGATCTTTTGTCATGACTTTTTCTCCTTCATAGATGTCTGATTTCGGTGATCCCTTCACTTGATGAGTTCAGCTACTAATGCAATTTTCTATTTGACGACAATTATGGTATATATATATTTAAAAGAATGGCGAGAGGCTCTGATATGAAACCACAAGTCATTCTTTTGTGTCTAACTACTCGATCTCGTACAACAGGTAGGCTCGAACCCGTGACCCCAGACTTAAAACTTACTTTGCAGATGCTAACCAAGGAGTCACGGCTAACAACAAACACACACACACACAATTTATAGAAATTGATTCATAACTTTAATGCTTCAATTTAAAAAATAATATTAATTTATTAAAAAAATATCAACTTAAATTTATTAATGTTGTTTTTGAATAAATTATATTTATTTGATATTTTTGTGTTTACTTATTTTAATGAATTAGTAATCAATAATTAAGTGGATAATAATGCATAGTGCATGTGATTTAATTAATTTTATTAGTATTGATAAAATAAAAAATCGAAATAGTAATATCCAGTCAAATAAATTTGGTATAAATAAATTAATTAAAAATTAAAGATATATAAATAATTAATATAAATTAAATATCAATATTAAATTAAATAAATTTGATTATGTATAAATCATTATTTTAACTAGCTTAATAAGCTACAACTTAATTAAATGTTATAATATTATCTTACATTTATCATAATTTAATTGCCCTCATTAAAATAAGCATGTCCAAAATAGGTATAATAAAATATTATATCATATAATTATTGTTAAAATTTTATTTCAACTATTAGCCTTAAATACCAAAAGAAGTAGCCTAATAATATCTCAAGAATTTAACTAAATTTAATCTTTATCATATCAAATAAATTTAGAATTTAATTATCTCAAAATGCACTAAATTTAAATATATAAGAAGTATTAAATTCTAACTGAATTAAACATCCCTTTCTAGCTTCAGCTAAACTGGAAGACTTAGGGCCCGTTTGGGGCAGTTTATTTGGTGCGCTGACGTTATGAAAATGCACCTGATCTGTTTGGGTAAACTGCGTTTTGGCAGCTTATGTGTTTTCAAAACGCAGAAAACAACGTTTTCACACCGCACCTATCTAGGTGCGGCGGGAGCTTATTGGTAATGGTTTGATTTTTTCAAAAAAATAAAAATTTGTAATAGCCACCGCACCTAGCTTATCCTTATCAACAGATTATTCAATAAGCTACAGCTGCCACAGTTTGGGTCAGGAAGTTTGTAAGCCCAAATTGGGGCAGCTGTAGCTTATTGAATAATCTGCTAATAAGTTAGGTGAGGCGGCTATCATAAATTTTTATTTTGTTGAAAAAGTTAGATCGTGGCCAGGAAGTTGCCATCGGTGTGAAAAAGCTATTTTCAGCATTTTGAAAAAACACAGGCCACCAAAATGCAGTTAGTCAAACAAGTGAAATGTGTTTTCCAAACCGCAGCAAATAAGCTGCTTAGGGCCCGTTTGGGACAGCTTAAATGTGCGGCGGCGTTTTTGAAAACGCCGCCGTAGCGTTTGGAAATCACGTTTTTACTGCGTTTTTGAGAACAGCCTTTTTAATTTATGTTACACGCGGATCACGGGTATATCCCCGCGATCCGCGTTTGGGCTCCATATTTTCCTTCGGCTACCCTCAAGCCCGCAGCCGACCTTCCTTCGCACATTTGTTCGATCTCGCCTCCGTCGCTCCTCCGCAGGGAACAAAACACTTGCTTCAATCGCCTCGTCCCTTCTTTCCCCTATTTCACCGAGAGATCTGAGATTTTGGCAAGAAATTTCACTCGATCTAGTTGTTTGGAAGTGTTGAGTTGGCTAAAACCTAGATCTGCTCTGATAAAAATATAGATCCACTGTTTCTGTGATATGTTTGAAGCATCGAAGCATCAAGGCAGTTCCCTTCTAGAAGCTTGAGTGGTTCTTATGAGCTATCAGACTCTTCATCAAGATCCCAGAGCTCAGTTTTATACTTGTGCAGTTCCTGAATGATGCGAGAATCATCATTCTTTTTATTGAACTGCTGCATAGTATATATTCCTCGATTCTCTTACTTTTTTCAGGTTTAT